TTGGTGAGGGCCTCAGACTCAACACATAGGCCTACATCAAGTCCCTTGAGGAGGTAGTCCTGCCCTGGGTGAAGAGTGTGGCTGCTGGAAAAACCTATGTCTGGCAACAGGACTCTGCACCATGCAAAACAAGTAGGAGAACCCAGTCATGGCTGCCAGGCAGTTTCTTCGACCATATCGCCCCTTACAAATGGCCATCTAACTCACCAGACTGCAACCCCCTAGATTGTTGTTTTGTTGTTTTTTTTTTAAATATCTTCACGGTGGATAATAATTATGAATCCCTGAGAGTCGTTACATATTAATCGTGCAAAAGATAAGTCCTCCACGAAAAATAATTCTACACGGAATTAGAAAAAAAAAACATCAAAAAAATCTCTCATTACTAGTATATTTCTTAATTACGCTGCTGAGGAACAAATTAAGCGAGCTATTAGAAATATTAACATAAACCAAAAAGAAAATAATATTCATTCAAATAACCCTGATCATATCAACCTACTACACCGCAATCAAATAAACTCTTACTGCAAAGAAGATGAAAAATTCCCGCCTAATTCTCATAAGTGCTAATGTACTAAGTTAAGATGTTAACGTTCTACACTATTTCAAAAAGGATTAGGAAGGAAGTCCCCAGCAATACTGGAACGAGCGGTAACAATGAGTAGACTTGAGAAATATATTTTCCTGAAAAATTGTTATATATATATATATATATATATATATATATATATATATATATATCGGATTGCTAAGGCTACCAGTGATTTCGGCAAACTTCACCATCGCTTGTGGAATGAGTGGGGTATTCAAATGGATACGAAAATTCGGGTTTACCGAGCTGTTGTACTTGCCATCCTTTTGTTTGGCTCAGAGTCATGGACCCAATACAGGTACCATATATGCCAGCTGGATGTTTTCCATAAAAGCTGTCTGCGTGCCACCTATGGAGTTAAGCTTCAAGATAGGAAATCTAACGTAGACCTGTTTAATAGGTGTAATATTGGAGGAATCATGACTTTTATCATGCAGTCTGAGTTACGGTGGACTGGTCATGTCTTGAAAATGTCTGATGACAGGATACCCAAGATCCTAATGTACAGCCAGTTAGATCAGGGCTACAGGAATGTAGGACGCCCATGGCTAAGATATATATATATATATATATATATATATATATATATATATATATATATATATATATACAAGTATATAATTGGTATATACGGAATGAATTCCAATAACCAACAATTACTATTCTTAAAAGAGTGCTCAATACAAAGTAGAGCAGATATAATTATTATTTATAAAAAAATTATAACATAAATAAATATATTTTGTTTCAAAACCCTCGTATTGATAAGGCACCGAGGGTTTTGAAACAAAATGGCTATTTTTGTAGTGATTTTATAACTTATTTATGTTATAATTTTTTTATAAATAATAATTATATATATATATATATATATATATATATATATAGGGTGCGATTTATTTTTTAATTTTGCGCATGCGCGTTCTTCGTTTTTTTGTATTTTATTTTGTCGACTGCACAGAAGAGTAGGGTCTGTTGGCTACCATCCGTGAGAATAAGAGCACCATGACGCAATTCACTCCAGAAATTTGAAAACGGGATACTGTACAGCTTGGTATTCGCCGTGGAAGCTCGAATACGAACATTTCGGAGTCTTTGAATCAATCTGAGGACAGTGCAGAGCATTCGGAAAGAGTTAGTTGATTCTAAATGTGATCACGAAATTCTGATAAGAAAAGAGCTCAACATGGAGGCCTACATCAAGTGCCTTGAGGAGATAGTGCTGGCCTGGGCCAAGAGCTTGGCTGCTAGGAGACCCTATGCCTGGAATAGGATTCAGAACCATGCCAAACAAGCAGGAGAACCCAATCATTAGTGTTATACAATTTCTAAGACCACTTCACCCTTTATATCTAACCAACTAACTCTCCAAACTGCAACTCATTTAAATTATTACATATAGGGCGCAGTTTAGCGAGAGGATAACAAAACACCTTGCAACACCAAAGATGAACTGAAGGCAAAGATTATGGCAGCATTCAGCAACTTAAACAAGGAAACCGCCTGAACAAGATTCCGAAGTCTTCTGGGGGCCGTGTTTGAAGCCAAATAGCAATTTTATTGAATAACTTTACTCTTTAGTATTCCAAGACATTGTTGCGCAATTTTGGTAAAAATATCGGTTAAAATGAGGTGTCAGTGTTATTTTCATTTTCACGTAATTTAGACGAAAATTAATCCATCCTTCATATCTTGAAGAAATAGACCTACAAATGTCCAGTATCATTTCCTCTGGTATTTGAGCAAATTCTTCTTCAATAGCTACTCTCATTTCAGCAATTGTTTCAGGTTTTCTGCTGCAAGCGTTCTCTTTTAGAAACCCCCACAAAAGAAATCCAACGGTGTCAAATCTGGTGATCTAGGTGGGTATTCAACTGTCCTTCTTCTTCCAATCCATCTGTTTTGCATATTTTCATCCATATAAGTTCTCATATCACGGTAATGTATTATTAACTATTAATATTTAAAGAGTGTATACATTATTTTGGGACTCCATATATATATATATATATATATATATATATATATATATATATATATATATATATATATATTTATCTATATATATGTGTGTATCTGTGTGTGTGTGCGCGCGCGTGTGTGTTTGTGTGCACACGTGTGTGTCTGCAACCAAGGCGATGGTCATATGCACACAGAGACATGGGTGTTGTCGCACGATGACTGGTAAATATGAATAAACTAAGATGGATTGATAAATAAGCTGACATCCAATACAGATCAAAAATGGATCAGAAATCGACAGAATGATTAGATAAAGTACAAATGGGAAAACTTTATCAATCAGAGCATGATGAAGCTTTTGTTTTTCTCTGAAACTTTAATGACATCTTATGATACCAAACGGCTCTAAAACAGGTATACATAAAAACAATCTTAGCATATATATATATATATATATATATATACATAAATTCAAGTATATATATATATATATATATATATATATATATATATATATATATATATATATACTAGAATTTATATATATATATATATATATATATATATATATATATATATATATAGAATTTATATATATATATACATATTATGAAAAACTAGGCTAGGTAATCCATATGGGTAGACCCAAGGAGGATAAAATCCAGAGAGCTCAATGAAAATCCAGAGCAAATAATTTAAATAAATACAGACCACTTTAAGGTTCCATGTAATAAATTATTTCACCACAGCCCTTTTAAAAGGACTGTGGATCATCAGACTTTACTTCCAAAGGTTGAAACAAAAAAAACAAAAAAAAAGTGGTCTGTTTTTTTTATTTAATATATATATATATATATATATATATATATATATACTAGAATACAGATCAAATATGGATCAGATTCCGACAGGATAAAAACAAATAGGAATCGTTTATCAATCTAACATGTTTCACTTTTATTAAAGCTTCATCAGAGAATCAGATGGATAAAAAAGACGAAAGGAATTCTGGTATTTTACTTTTGTATCTGTTATGGTCCGGTTCCTTGTATCACGGTGATAGTCCAAGGTAGAACCAATAAAGAAGAACTCGAACAAAGGTATGGGATAACACAGATATATTACAAACAGGAATATATACAGAGAAGTAGAAGTGTTAGTATGAACAATCAGGTTTAGTAGAGAGAACAATGTAGTCTCGACCAGTATCACTATTCCAATGTCTTGTAGTAATTGTCTAAATGCGACTCTGTTTCGGACTGCCTCTGACTCGACTCTTGACTCGACTTGAACTACTGACTCAACTTGAACTACTGACTGACAATATTCAGTCACCCCACGAGGGTGTCATGTGGAAGGCCTTTTTTAACGTGGGCATTCCTGAGCCATTAGGCCCGGGCAAAAAATAGCCCATTTGAACCCGCATAAACGGGTTCTGGGCCGGTTCAACTCCCCGAAGGAGACTCCGCCCTTCGGCGTAGCCTCCTTCGGGTTTTGCCCGTAGGAAGAGAGTTTAACCGTGCAGTCGGTTCAAATGAACTACTGACTGACGATATTCAGTCACCCCCACGAGGGTGCGCATTTGAACCCGCATTTCCCCGAAGGAGACTCCGCCCTTCGGCGTAGCCTCCTTCGGGTTCCTCTCGCCCGTAGGAAGAGAGTTTAACCGTGCAGTCGGTTCAAAAGTGAACTACTGACTGACTTTTTGCCTATTCCTTAGGCGCAGTATTTATTAAGTATGGAATAGTCCATTATTATTATTATGGGTATGATCCCATATATTTTTTTTTATTTTCATTGCTTAATCATGTTTCACGTGCCTTCGACGTAATAAACAAATGATAGTAGAAATTTTGACGCTCCGAATTCAAGGAGAAACAATGCGTCCCTTCGAAATTTCCAGACATTCAAGGGTTCCAGGTCTAGCTGAAAAACCATAACTATTACTTTGTGTATGTAAGTATATAATAATTCTAGTTTGTCTATGTGAGATTCACATGACAATGTATATTCGTAGGTGTGTGATAGGTGTGTATGTCTACTAGACATTATGCTTGGTGATTCGTCGCATCTTAATTTGAGAACGCTTTTACTAACATAGCGTTTGTTTTAGATAAATATAGGTTAACCTTTTGAGCCCTGTGTTCCAGAATAATTTTAATCCTACTGCCTGAGCTCCCGAGTCAAAATTTGCAAATAATTGGTATGTAATGTTTCACAGCAGGTATGAAAATAGTGTTTATCCACCGTTTACACGATAGCTGGGGCATTGATTGATTTTTCTCAACCACCGGTAAAACGGTGGTAATGGCTCAAAGGGTTAAGAATAGTTTCAATAAAGTTTGGTGATCTAATATAATGTTTTCAACGTGTTTTTATAGTTGGTAATATTGTTATTAGTAGGCTCCCAAAATACGTTTTTATTCGGGTGGCATTTGTAAAATCATAGATAGATAGATAGATATGAACAGACTGAGATAGATAGATATGAACAGACTAAGATAGATAGATAGATAGATAGATAGATAGATATGAACAGACTGAGATAGATAGATAGGGATGGAAGGATTGATATATATATATATATATATATATATATATATATATATATATATATAAAAGTGAACATTGAAGTCAACACTCAGAGATGACATGTTAGACGCAATCGTTAGGCCTTACGATCGCGTCTAGCATGAAACAGCCTGTCGCCTCTGACTGTTCACTGTTCACCTCAATGTTCACTTTTATTTTTATATTTACATACGCTCTATTGCTGATATTGAGCACTTTATCCCATACCACTTTAAGGTTCCATGTAATAAATTATTTCCCCGCAGCCCTTTTAAAAGGACTGAGGATCATCATTATTTCCTCTGGATTTACATTGAGCTCTCTGGATTTTATCCTCCTTATGTTTACCTATACGGATTACCTATATATTTTATATAAATATATATATATATATATATATATATATATATATATATATATATATATATATAAATGGTGGACATGTATTCCGTAGTGTATGAAAAAAGAAATGCAAAATAAGATACAGAAATCTCAAGTAGAATGGAAAATAAAGTTATCTATAGAGAGTGAAAGAACTTAGATATAAACATAGATAGATAGATAGATAGATAGATAGATAGATAGATAGATAGAACTGTTTCAGCATTTACTGACTGGAAGATGGAAACTTTTATAAAGATATGCTCACGTTCAGTAATATCTAAAACGTCACTTGTATACAAACGCTTTCTCAGATCAATGATTAAACTCGAGCAATTGAACCTTGTAGGTCTTTGAGAGGATCATCCTTTTTTGAACGTGACGTGACAGAATCAGGAATAAAGAACTGTACTAAACAACTGAAACCACATCATTTGGTCATTTTCAACGGCAGCATCAACTAAAATGGATATCACATAAAACTCAAAGAGAAAATAATGATATCATCAAAATGCTATGGTGCCACATACTTCAAAAAGTGGTTAAGAAGGAATCCTGTCCCCTGTTCGCATCAATACAGGAAAAGGCGATAACAGTTAGTGGATTTGATTTTCCTGAATAATTGGCATAATAGAAATATTTTATAAATTTCAGCTTACAGAAGCACTGGCTGTTTCATCTCTGAATACCGAGTGTTTCCTTATGAGGAAACGGCTAATATTATCAAGGTGTGTAGCAAAGTCTGATGAGGAAATACAAGATTAACAATGATCACGATTGCATGAGGAATCCTAAGATTTCATTTTATTACCATTAGAGATGAAGAGAACAGATATTACACTTTAATCCCAACCCCATTGCTAGAGAGTGATGAAAAGCGTAACACAACTAGAATTTCCATATAAAGAAACAGCTAATATCACCATTACAGCTATTTCTGTAGTGAGAGAGCCTATCACTGGATGCTCGACACTTGTGTTCTTGTACCAAATTAGGATCTCTCTTCTCTTCTTGTTCTTGTAACGGCATTCACCCGAGGTGGGTTGAGCCGGCTCCAATATTGGAGTTTCATGGGAATTTGGAATTCACAAGCGGTCCCCAACCCGCATGTATAGCACATGAGATTTGATTATAGTGGTGAAGGTTTCGTGCGGGACCATCCACACTTTTTGAAGGGCCGATTACAGAGAACTGGTGCACTACGTGCCACAAGGTCCCCAAACGACCCTCCGCAGGTTTTGAATTCAGAGTTTTTCCTTCTCCTAGACCAGTTGCCATCCAAGGCTATAGAACCCAGTCCTGCTGTTTACCCATAGCTGGAGGGCGAAGAAGAGGATTCACACCTTTCCCAAGGGTATTCGCACGTAAGTGAATGTAATGGAATTCGAACTCGGCTCTCCTATTCCTCAATCCAAGCCGCTAGGATCAAATTTGTAAATACCAAAAGCGAAGTGAATGGAGGCAAAGAAACTATAAGTGGATGAAAGAATAAATTCCTGAAAAAGAAAAGGACAGATGGAAACAATGCACTAGGCAAGGCTTTCGATTGGGGAAGTAAAATAGACAAGAAAGATACAAAAATGCAGACATTACAATAAGTCTGTCGGCCATTAGAATGACGAGAAAAAAATCAACTCGACGAATGTATGCGCAATGAGAAAATATGGCTTAAAAAAATGTGGAATGTATTTTTAAATGCATATATATATATATATATATATATATATATATATATATATATATATATATATATATGGGGGTGCTGAAGAGTCATCGATTTGAACAAAAAGAAACTACACAATGTTTTGTCAACTGATCAGGTTCCGGGAAGTGGGTCGGGCCGATAACTTTTCAGCACCCCATCGTATATAAAGAGGTGTGGCGTTGAATAACTTGGAGGAAAAAGGCGTGGCTGACGACAACGGGGAAGGCGGTAAAATAGTAACGAAAATGAAAAGAACGTTTCAGCGTGGACAAATCATAGACACTGGTCGATATGTTGAATGTAGGAGCTGATTGCTTTGTTTAGATCGCACGGAGAAGTGGCGGCAGTTATTTTCACGAGAGTATGTCCTCTCCAGTATAATGGCCGACCGTATATTCGACTGACTTTACAATAAAAATGAATGAACGAACGTGTAAGTCATGGCTCATCAGGTAAAGAAGTTAGAATGTGATTGAGACACAGTCTTTATACACTAATGTAATTTAAGTTACCCAAGTGATTTAACACGATACATATCCAATATTCCGGTCTATATTACGCGTTAGTTCAATGAAAATATTTTCAAATATTACCATGCAACCAATGCACTGGTATTATGAATGAGAAGTCGACCATCGAAAGCTTTATTTGTATATCTTTTGGGAAGAATAAGGTAACGCTATCTTCCTCCATTACGCTTTATTCAACTCCGGCCACTGAGGTGTGTGGCCCTAGGTCTTTCTTCTAACGTGGATTCTACATTTTTTAAAGATGTGAATGACTTTCTTCTTCTTGGCCATCTACTGAGTATATATACATATAAATATTGACATCCCCGGACAGACTGCTTCGCTGTATCACAGCTCATCAGTGTGCCTAGACATCCGATTACTTCAAGCCGGGATGGGAACTTGGCACCAGTCGGAGATTTTACCACTAACCTATCAGCGCCCGAGGGAAGGGAATGTTTGCGTATTTATTCTTTTGAATAAACACACCAATAACCTAGAGGGCTCAATTCATGGAAGAGCTTTTATATATATATATATATATATATATATATATATATATATATATATATATATATATTATATATAGTTTTATATATATATATATATATATATATATATAGAGAGAGATAGATAGATAGATAGATAGATAAAGGATTATTACGATTATAATATTTGTCACTTGAGGTTATTTTCAGTATCTCGACTCAAGAGTTTCGTAGACTAGTCCTCCATCAATCATTCCGTCCACTCATCAGAAGATAGGATAGCGATATATAAATATTTACATATCAAGAACCATTTCTTAGAGGAAAGATGTAAGAAAAAGTGTGAAAGGTTTTCGTGTGAGGCATTTTCCCTATCACACTAAACGCATCACACGAAAACTTTATCATGCATTTTTCCCCTTAACTTATCTCAAGAAAACTTCGCATGAAATTAAAAAGACGTCACTCGAAACTTTTCCACTTTATCATATGTCTTATATATATATATATATATATATATATATATATATGATGAAATATACTTTTCAGGTATGCTATATTTGTGAGTTAAAGTGCGCAGTGTAAAGCATAGAGAGTATTTAGATATAAAAGTGGACACTGAAGTCAACACCCAGCGGCGAGAGGAATGATAAACGTAATCCTCAGTCATGTGCGTTGTTTTTTGATCGATTTTTATGTATACAGTTAAGTGATGCATTGTCCGTAGTCTACTGTATTGCATTACCACAGGTGATATTTAGTGGAAATAATTGTGGATCAGAATGCAGATTTTTGGATATTCATTTATTGACTATTTTATTGTTGGTTGTTATTACTGCGTTTCCTTGTGTTTATTTGTGCATACTTGATATGCATATATATATATATATATATATATATATATATATATATATATATATATATATATATATATATATATATATATATATATATATATATATATATATATATATATATATATATATATATATATATATATATACATATATTCTGTTTATAAGTTTTTTTTTTTTTTTATGGACACAGTTATTTGAGTCAAGGCTATGTTTTTATAATTAAACAGAAGTAATTGCATTTACCGGCCTGAATGTTCGAGAAATTTCGTGGAAAATACACGTCCTCCGACAATAATTGAACCGGTATCCAATACAGAGGACTTCCGGTTCAGCAAAGCTCGAATTACTGCTTTCAAATACACATTTTATCGATTTTTCTCGATCTATCAAATCGACTCTGAAATTGTAGCCTATGTAAACATTAACAGCATATTATATGAAATGTAATTAATACTGATTAATTAACAAACAGACCATTTACCCAAGTATCATCCTTACAAATGTCAAACAGAAAATATATTAAAATATTTGTCATATTTAATATATATATGTCTATATTTCTGAGATGAGGTATTATGTACAGTATTTACATTAGTCGGACTATTGTCCTCATCTTTGTCGCCATATTTGTCACAACGTTTCGGCCGTTGTACGCTCCGGCCTTCTTCAGGTGGTTGGAATTTCGAACTGAACCCTTTATTTCGATCGCTGGGGTAGACTGTTCTAATTCCACGTGCCATGTTTGATGGATGTCAGTTATCAGTTATCTCCTGCTAATTTTCCCTCTGAAAGTTCTCCACTGCCTTAACCAGGAATTGAACTCACCTTCTTTGGGTCTGTCACTGGATCTAACCAACGCCTTTATCCACTGTGCCATGTTCAGAGGGAAAATTAGCAGGAGATAACTGATAACTGACATCCATCAAACATGGCACGTGGAATTAGAACAGTCTACCCCAGCGATCGAAATAAAGGGTTCAGTTCGAAATTCCAACCACCTGAAGAAGGCCGGAGCGTACAACGGCCGAAACGTTGTGACAAATATGGCGACAAAGATGAGGACAATAGTCCGACTAATGTAAATACTGTAATATATATATATATATATATATATATATATATATATATGTGTGTGTGTGTGTGTGTGTGTGTGTGTGTATGTGTGTGTGTGTGTATTTATGAATGGAAGAGACAACAGAAAAAGTGTTGTTTTAGCCGAGGCGGTTGGTCTAATGTGGACTTTTTCAAGGCAAAAATGGAAATGAATTTATTGAAATAAAATACCTATAAAAACAGTTTTCCTATTGTCTTTTTCCTTAATACCCATTGTATTTTTCTACAGATTCATTCTAAGAAATTTTTACACACACTCACACATACACACACACACGCACACACACACACACACACACACACACATATATATATATATATATATATATATATATATATTCTAATTCGACACAACATCCTAGAGGTAAATGTGTAAAAACACAAAAATAGAATTAATCATTAACTACAAAAAAGATTACAAATAATCGAAGCAATAATTATAAAATACGAAAATATATAATAAATAAATATCATTCAACATAAGGACCATTTTAAATATTTTTATCACCGAAAACAGAATTTATACTCTCCTGAGTCTAAGTGAAGATCTTATGAGAAACAAAGTCTAAATAAATCTCAACGAGTGACATGATGAATTCAAAATTGGCCACTAAACAAAGAAACTGTCAAAAGCGAGAAACCAGAAAAAGCAATGACTCTCTATTATTGAAAACAACTTTATCTGATGAAAATGGCCGAAGTGTCTGAAATTACACCGAGAAATAATGTCAGGAAGTACTTTATCTTATTTAGTATCAATGAAAGTATACTTCTAAAAAATATTTATAAAAATTTACTTAAACTTTCTTAAAAATAAACTTAACATCAATTAAACAGGCAAAAAAGAATTTGCTACCAAAATACATTTTATATATGATAATAATAATAACAACAACACGCCTTACGAAGAGATTTATTTTAAGACATTTTAAACAACATTTACCGGCCTGAATGTCCGAGAAATTTTCATAGAAGAATAAAAATGTCTTAAAATAATTGTCGGACTTTGTCCATTTCATAATGTGTGACGTCATTTGTTTACATATGATACGCCATGAGCAGATATGAATGTCCGTGAGAGATTCATGGAAGATTGAAGTTTAAATACCTTGTTAACTGAACGCTCTTCTGTGGCCAAATCGGTAAAGTCACGTCAAGCTACGGATCCGTATAGGATACAGGTTCGAATTCTGTCGGGGGACGAATATTTTCTATGAAGATTTCTCGGACATACAGGCCGGTAAATGTTGTTTAATACTGTTTATTATAAACAGAGCATTTACTTAAATATTTGTATTTATAAAAAGAATGGTAAACATAAAAATGTTTTGAAAATAATTGTCGGACTCTGTCCATTTCATAATGTGTAAGAGCTTTATCTATGTAAAATATGTGTGCGTATGTTTTTAATTGGTCAATGGAAAATGCCATTACGCCATTATCTGACCTTAGGTCTCTGGGCGTGACCCGGAAAGAAATGTGTACACACTAAGAAATCAAAGAAAAGAAAATAATAATAAAAAAAAAATAATTGACCATCTTGAATCAGGTTGCGCGGTATTGGTACCCACTGAATATAAAAAAAAACGGAACGACAGAGTGGCCCAATATCTGCAATGGAAAATCTGAAACACTTTCGGAATGGAAACTGCAAGTAATTGGTATGAACACCACCCCGATCCGGTTACGGAGATAGGACCTGTGACGATTTTATGGGACTTTACAATACATACAAACAGAATAATCAAAGCTAATCGCCCTGACATTGTGATTAGAGACCGCAAAGACAAAATGTGCCTCCTTATTGACATGGCAGTCAGTCCCTGCAGACTGGAATGTACCTTTAAAGATCTCAAAAATGTCACGCATTTCCAGTTGCAGTTGGAGCTCTCCGATTGATTGGAAAAGATTCCAATGGATTCATTGAAGAGATCTCTGGTAGCCCACGCCTTAAAGAAATACAAAAACCTTGTACTCACAAGTACGGCCCACACCTTACGAAGGGTTTTACCTATGTAAAATATGTGTGATTTTTTTTTTAAAACTGCTCAGTGGAAAATGTCATGATGCCAATTCTAAATGAACCGGAAATAGATGAGTATACACCTGAAACGAAATAAAATAATGATGATAATAATCCGAGGATTCCTGTCAACTAAGGCAGTTGACCAGTCCCTTTTGCAGACGCCTACTCAGGCATATTTACACAGAGAGCCCTGTTACAGAGCTGTTCGATAAAAGTGACTCACCCGATTTTTTTTTACTAAATGTTCTCTTCTCCGATGAAACGAAAGTTGATCTAAATTCAAAGAATAAGCGATCTAAAATCCGAAGAAGCTGCTTTGAAAGCTCTTTGAATTTAGCAGTAAGTACTGTCAAGCATCCGTTCAGTATAATTTCTTAAAACCTATTGAAAAGACCCTCAGGAGCGAGCAGTACAAGAGAATTTTAGAGTCTTGTCTGCTCCCTTCTGCTGAAAGGGTGCAAATCGACCCCACCAAGCTCATTTTTATGCAAGATAATATATCTAATTAAAAAAAATAGACATTTTATGTCGATTAAATTTATTGATCTTTTTTCCTAATATGTCAAAAACTATTCCCAAATGTGTCTATACACTTTACAGCAATTAAATATATCATTCAAACAAAAAAAATAACAGCATTTTTAAAAATAAAAACAAAAAAAAAAGATACTACGCTGTTTAAAAAATTTTTGTTTCATTCATTACTTCTCCATCAGGTGATCATTCATGCAAGTTGAAATCTTGAACTTAATACAGATTTGGCTTCTTTTTTTTCATACAGTATATTTACGAAAATTTATACGCATATTCGAAAAAAATGATCAATTAATTTAATAGACATAAAATGTCTACTCGTTTTTAATAAGAGATAGATAGATAGATAGATAGATAGATAGATAGATAGATAGATAGATAGGAAATGAAGACAATAAGTTAGATAGATCGATCGATCGATCGGTCGATGGATAGATATATAGATAGATAGATAAAAATTAAATGTTCTATTATATTGTCTCTACTCTAAGCGTCGCGGAAATTACATTTCGTCTTCGAGAGAGTTGATTTCCTTAAAAATGGTCGCTTCCAGAAATAACTTGGTCAGTGTTTTTTTTTCGAAACACAGATTCTGTTCATTATGAGATATATATATATATATATATATATATATATATATATATATATATATATATATATATATGGGTGTAAGTACGTAAATATATATATAAAGAGAAAGAATAAAGAGAAAGAGAGACAGAAATAAATAATTAAGAGACAGGCTAATACTGGGTACATCTATTTTATAGTCTCAGCCCAGTCATAATTGACAAACAGTATAAACTATCTGGGTGTGACAATTATTTTAGGGTTTTGTTAAAATAGCTGACGGCGGGACAAAATAATTTGGGTTCATTCCTTTTTCAGTTTGCTTCAGGAAGTATGCTTACTCAAATCAAGAGTTCATTTTGCAATACACTACATCTGCCCTGATTTCACACACACACACAGACATATATATATATATATATATATATATATATATATATATATTATATTATTTATTATATTATATTATATTTATATATATTTAAATCCAAAAACCCTGAAGAAAGGACATTTATCAAGAAACTTTGAAGTCAGGAAAAACAACAAAAATTATATTTAAAAAAAGTAATATATATATATATATATATATATATATATATATATATATATATATATATATATGATATATCTGAGATAGTCTCAGGCTGTTCATATCTATCTAATTTGTTCTCTTCATTCCGATATACATACATACATATATATATATATATATATATATATATATATATATATATATTATCATTATTTTTAAAATATGATTCCATCGCTACCACAGAAATTACTATGTTTCGAAACTGAAATTCAAGTCCTAAAGTTTAATTTCAAATTAAACTTGAAATTTAGTGCACAGTTTCATTCTCAAGCGATGTTTAGAATAACTACACTATTCATCGCTTGAGAATGAAAGTGTCCTGTAAATTTCAAATTTAATTTTGAAATTAAACTTTAGGTTTTGAGTTTTAGTTTCGAAACATAGTTATTCCTGTGTAGCAATGGAATCATATTTTTAAAAAAATGATTATAATTTAAACTTTACTTCTGCATCGAGCACAGTTTTTTTTTAAATAAAAACTTTGGTTCATGAAACTAATTTTTCTTTCCTATTACATCCACACACACACATATATATATATATATATATATATATATATATATATATATATATATATATATATATTAGCAGTATTACTCGCTTGAAAATCTGGGATGACTCAACTTGTAGACACGTGAGGGCAAATTGGTACCCGAGAAAAAATTTTAGTTCTTTCTTTGTTTACTTCCAAATTTTTCCTCAGAACAAGGCGAAACAAATCGTCAAGTTTCTTAAGTCCTTAATCCAAAGAAAAAATCCAAGTGAGTATAAAGACAACGAAAACGTAGAGGGCTCAAAGTAGAGCAGTAAATTAGATTAAATCCAAACGAGTCAGGCAAACCAACCTAGGTTTCACCTAAGCGGATCTTCCGGGTAGACTGGCTAAAAAAGGAAATGGCGGAACAGTATTTATTGATAAAACTATTAAAAACATAAAACCACGTTACAAAACAAAAAAAAAGAGAGAGCGAAGAAAACCCAAAGGCTCATTGAAATAATAAAAATGGCAAATTAAAATAAATCCATTAATTCTTAGGAATTGCTTTGTTTATGTTTCGGTTACGAATCTCAGCAGATATGGGCTTCAAATTAATACATTTTACTTTGTGGTAGAGTTGTAAAGCCTGTCGAATCTAAACAAGAGTTTCCACTACAAAGGGTCACGCAGGTTCGATCTCTGCTAAAGAACAAGTCTTACTGCTCTCGAATGTGTAGTTTGAGAGAAGTATTACAGTTTAATAAAGAAGTGAAATTGAGACGTCTATTTCGAATAAAGAAGTCTTCGCGGTAATAAAGTTTGAAGTGATAAAATTATCGGACTTAAAATAAATCCACTAATTCTTAGGAATATATATATATATATATATATATATATATATATATATATATATATTAAATCAATTAATTTATAATATATATATATAAAGAAATATAGTTTTAAGGTGTGCTATATTTATGAGATAAAGTGCTCAATATCAGAGATAGAGCGTATGTAAATATAAATATAAAAGTGCACATTGAAGTCAACACTCAGGCGGACTGACGATTGCACCTAGCATGAAACAGCCTGAGCCTCTGGCAGTTTGACTTTGAGATATATCTATATCTATATATATATATATATATATATATATAGTGTAACCCGGATATAAGATAGTTGTTGGGACCGGAGAAGAAGTCTCTTATATCCGGGTTTCTCTTATATCCGGGTTTGGTCTATTTTGTTTAGATAAGCATGGGAACACTTTGGGACCAGAGAAAATCTCTCTTATATCCGGGTTTCTCTTATATCCGTGTCTCTTATATCGGGTTACATGATATATATATATATATATATATATATATATATATATATATATATATATAAAGAAATATAGTCTTAAGGTTATATATATATATGTGTATATATATATATATATATATATATAAAACAATTAGGACATACAACACCTAATAAGTTAAGTATGTGTGTGTGTGTGCGTGTGTGTGTGTGTGTGTGTATTCCCCAATGCAATATATATATATATATATATATATATATATATATATATATATATATAAATAAATATAAGTATATAAATATAAATAAATTAAGTTTATAATTATTTTATATTATATGCGCGGTACTTATTAGAAAGCGCTCAATATCAGAGATAGAGCTAACATATTTGGTTGGATAGATGTGAGTTTGTGACCCTAGGTTTCACGCTTTAGCGATCGTCAGATATTGTTTCAATAAGGTACACTAACCCCGAATATATGTATATGAATGATATGATTCCTGTTCATAAATTCCAGTTTCATAAGGTCTTTTTTAGTTTTTACAAGTGTACCTTATTGAAATTGTTTGTGAAGATGTATTCTCGCCATTTAAATCATTAACCTCTATATTTGTTTTTTGTATGAATGATTCATGTAATTATAAATTGAACGAAATATATATAATATATATATATATATATATATATATATATATATATATATATATATATATATATCATCAATATAGACGTAATTTTCCGTTGTTACACGTATAGTTGATATGATTTTATGAGCTGTGATACAGTGAAATAGTCTGTCTGTGGATGACAATATATACGCCCCCGGAAAAGCTCTTGGAAGAAACAGCGAATTTGTAAAAAATGACTACTATTGCTAATACTGCAAAGTTCTTCTCTGAATTGAGCCCTCTCAGTTATTGTCGTATTTATTCGAAGAATATGTAGGTCAAAATTAGCTTTCCTCTCAACCGGGCGCTGATAGCTTAGACGTAGAATCTCTAAATGATGCCAAATAAGTCGGGTTTCGCTTCCGGCTTGAGGAAATCGGATATCTAGCTACACTGACGAGCTGTGATACAGCGAAACAGTCTGTCTGTGGATGACAATATATATTTTTATGCTGTGATGGTAACAACCGGCCGAGATTGAGAAATCGTAGTACATAATCTGTATCTCCTTCATTTACTGTGTGTACTATGTGTAAATGTGTGTCTGTATGTGTGTGTATGTGTGTGTGTGTATTTTGGCAGCAATCCTTCTTTCATGCATATTTCATTAAATACGATAGACAAGGTGTTTTGATAATTTTTTTAATATAATTTCTCATGTGTTCTAATATTTTTTTTCCTTTTCAGATGATAAATTATATAAAAACTGTCCAAATATTCTTTTTTTCCGAGCGCTTTCGGCTATACATTCTCAAGGATTAAATATTTTAACTATTAAATAAGAAATAGTTTATATATATATATATATATATATATATATATATATATATATATATATATATATATATATATATATAATTATTTATTTAAAAATATGATTCCAACACGCTACATAAGAGTTCTCATGTTTCAAAACAAGAGCCGAAAACTTCAATATAATTATTTGAATTAAATTGAATTAAAGTAAGCTCTGTTCCACCTTCAAGCGAAATTTTTTGGGGAATAACTTATTTCTGAAATTTACGTGTTTTAATAGCATATTCATTATTGAAATCAAAATTCATATGGTAACGGCTAGAGCTATTGTTTAAATAAACAGGGGTGTAAGGTGTTAATAATTTGTATCAGTATAAAGTTACATTCACAGATACATACTTATATATATATATATATATATATATATATATATATTTTTTGAACAATATATATATATATATATATATATATATATATATATATATATAAAGACATAAAGACTGAATATTAATTACTCCACTACTAAAAACTTTCGACAAGTATTGTCTATTTTGAATAGGATCCCCTCGTAATTACGGACAAGTCTCTTAATATCCTTATTAAAGGAAAAAAGAAAATTACCATGTTGATTCATATTCATATTATTCCGAGTACTTTTGATATTAGCACAATGTCGTCACGCGGGTCTTGTTTCTTCTAAGACAAAATTGTTGTTGTTCATTTGAAAATTTATTTTTTTGACGTGTGAAGTGAAAAACACTAAGTTTATGTACTGTACAATTTTTTTGTTCACGTGCAAACCTCAAGGGAGGAAACTAATTTATTGTTATGCCAAAATAGTTTTAAAAAGGAAAAAACTATTTAAAATTATCTGTTAAAATCAAGAGATTTAAATTACCGGCTGTAAACATTATAAAACATTTGTACAGTATCCATAATTAACTTTAATTATTATTAAGAAACTTGTCCATAATTACGAGAGGATCGTATTAAAAATAAATAGAAAAAACTTGTCTGAATTATTTAAGGAAATATGTCTGAATGAAAATATGTTGCCTAAATTTACACAATTTTATATACATTATATAGATAGATAGATAGATAGATAGATAGATAGATAGATAGATATAAAGAAGAGTTAAAAACTATTCTTAGTCGACACGTTTCGTCTTCTGAGGGATTTTATCAAGGCAAATTAACAGATATATACATACGAACAGACACAGATAGATAGATAGATAGATAGATAGATAGATAGATAGATAGATAGATAGATATTTGAACTGATAGATAGATAGATAGATAGATAGATATATAGATAGATAGATAGATAGATAGATAGATAGATAGATAGATAGATACAGAAACAGCTAGATATGAATAGGCACACACATGGAGAGAGAGAGAGAGATGAAAGACAAAAATAGAGAGAGATTTGAACAGATAGATAGATAGATAGATATGAATAAACTGAGTCATATATATGTGTATGTGTGTGTATGTGTGTGTACATATATATAGATAGATATGAACAGACACACATAGATGGATAGATGTTGACAGAGAGAGATTTGCATAGGCATCGTTAGATAGATAGATAGATAGATAGATAGATAGATAGATAGATAGATATGAATAAGCACACGCATGGAGAGAGAGAGAGAGAGAGAGAGAGAGAGAGAGAGAGATGAAAGACAAAAATAGAGAGAGATTTGAACAGATAGATATGAATAAACTGAGTCATATATATATGTGTGTGTACATATATATAGATAAATATGAACAGACACACATAGATGGATAGATGTTGACAGAGAGAGATTTGGATCGGCATCGTTAGCTAGCTAGCTAGCTAGCTAGATAGATAGATAGATAGATAGATTAAACTAGAAATAATCTGTAAGTAAAAAGGCAGAGTAATCTGCGACACAAACGCACGATCACAGGACACTTCTGATCAAACATGGACGGCACTGTATTCGTCATTCTAGTCGCTCTCTTTCACACTGTCCTGTCTTCGGTTCAGTATTCAACCGGTATCCATAACTGCTACAATCACGCATTTCTGATGTCGAGTATCATGTGATATATCACGTGAGAACTTCCTCGCCACCATTTTCTTTTGCTCATTATTTCTTTCCCGCTATGTTTTGTACGCTCTCGAATGTCCTTTAATCCAAGAGTCAGGCGATAAAATGCAGCATAATCACTTTCGTTATCGTATTTGTTACATCGCTTCCTTTCGTTTTTGTAAATATATATGTTTCTGGCTTGGAGGTTAATCAGGTACACACGAAATCTGCCTCGGGGTAAAGGTCGTATTAGCCATGTAGTGGAGTAATTAATATTCAGTTCATTCTGAATATACGAATTTTACAGAGAAAAATACTCGCAGAAAGAATAGCATGACTATAATAGACAAATCAATCAAGGCATTTCAAAACAATGAAATAATATTCATATCGCAAATAACACGTACAAAAACTGCTACAGTTTCGATATATTTCTCAAGTAAATATGTCTCTGTGGTTAAAGTGAATAAGAAAAATAAATGATTGCTTTCAGCCGTAAGTCTGTGAGGTCGTCACTCACATCATAGCAGAAGAAATTAGCCTTGTATTCACGGATATAAAAGCATACTTGACAGGAAATAAAATGTACATAGATAACAGAAAAAGCATGATAAATTGTATGCTAATTTCATACAATTTATATTTTTGTGTGAATTTTGATAAGTTACAATTGTTTCATGATAAATGTGATAACATGCCATATCACAGAGAGAAGTTGGACACGTGTTGCCCGTAACGAAGTTCATGGCGAAGAGATTGAATTTAGCGTCTTATTGCGGATGTCTGTATTTCCGGCAGGAACAGTTTTTGTAGCATGCTGGGAGTATTTTTATTATTTAGTTTATTTTAAACAACGTTTTTTATGTTATTTTTTTTTTTATAATTTTCATTATTATTATTATTTTATATTTTATTTTCATATATTTATAATAATAATAATAATAATAATAATATTCCTACTTGTTGAATCCAAATAACAGTACTTTTTAGAATTGTAGCCCTCATAGAAACTTTGATGCTTATATATCTGTGCGTGGAAAGAGTAGTTGAAAGGGAATAAAGCAATCCACCTATATAAGGCGTCGCCGGAGTCAAGAGGAATATACTGGCAAAATAGTAGAAGTAAATGAATGGTAACTTAATCTCCGTGTCCGCACATGAATTCTTTTTTTTCTCGTGGGGTTACCGGTTGATATTTTGTTTCTATTTTTATTTTCGCTTAGTTATTGCGCAAAAAAATCTGTGAAGTTAGTGGCTCGATTTGAATTTAGTAGGAAGGGGAGGGCGTTGATAATAAATCAGAAAACAGTGTTTCTTATAACTTTTTATTATAAAAGATTAAATTGACGATGCAAGATGGACATAAACTGAAGATGGTTGTTCGAGATTAAGCGAAAATCCAGTATCTTGAAATTGTCAAGGTAGGCTGACTCCACTAACACGCACATTTACTATATTGCAACAACACGGTTTACTAGTGTGTTAATAAAACTTAGTAAATATCAACAATTACATATTTCATGGGTTCAATCCTTGGATCAGGTAGTGAGGCTCCAATTCAACAGGAATGAACAATAACTGACAACACAAGAAAATATCACAATATTCAACAGATATATCCCAACAGCCAATCAATGGACTCCTGATGATGACAAGATGGTGCTTGGTCAATATATTGTATCTATAATAATGTAAATATAAAACAAGATGAGAACAATAGTTCAAAATAATTATTTTTAATCATTTCACTTCAAGGAAGGTAACAAAGCCACTAAGAAGCAGGGAGCAGAGTGTGAAAGAAGAAAAAGAAAACATTATTAAGGAGAGAGAACAATAAAAGAACAGGAATTAAGAAAAATAAAAAATAACGAATGTCATTCCATTTAAAATTTTTTGAAGCTCAAACTTGATTGGAAAGCAAGAAGCCGGACGAGAATTATACAAGAGAAAAGTTCAATAGAAGAAACTGTTAGCATAGAACTTACGGTTATATATGGCCATTTCAACTGTAAAATGACGAGATCTTGCCGCCAATCTAGTACTGAGCTAAAATTCATATAGTCTAGGTACCATAGAAGAAAGTTTATCAGAACAATTACTACGAATGTATTTATAGAAACTGTACAAGGAAGATACATTACGGCAATGGGAAAATGACTGAAGCCGAAATGTGAGGTCAGAACCACTAATTCTTCTTTGGATTTCATCAATAATCTCTAAGTATATAGCAGAAGCAAGAGCTATATGTGGTAGCAATATTCTAAGCGTGGTCTAATGGTAGACTTATGAATATGTAAGATGGATTCAGGCGATTAGTATTATCCAGTACTACATACGACATAGCAATTGGTTCAATATTTGACAATTGCTTATCTCTGAAATGAAATAAATAAGTATATATGTATTCTAAATTTCTGACATTAGTCTTTTAAGTGCGTTGTTTGTTTGTTTTTTGTTTTTGTTTTTGTTTTTTTGTTTTTTGTTTTGTATTTTTCTTTTTTTTTCTTTTTTTTTTGTCGGTTGGCCAGAGGATCGGTTTCCCTATCAACAAGCTCAACTTATTTTAAAACCAAGAAGTTTGCGATTTGATCTTCCGGAACAAATGCAAAGTTAATTCCAATCAAGCATAAACGGTATCTATATTAAAAGTCTGCTTGTACATCGCATTCTTTAGTTAGTTTCCTAATTAGTTCGCACGGCCAGTACGTTCTGCCAATACCTCATGAATAATAGGTTATTCTGCTTTGATTGCATGAAAACACGGAAATACCTTATCAGTCACGTTACTTGGTTTCAGTGAGAAAAAAGATAGATAGATAGATAGATAGATAGATAGATGTGTTTAACGTCTGTTTCAGTTGTATGAAAAAAGTTGTCAACTTCAAAATCTTTCTATTTGTACCCCCTTACTTCTTAAAATAACAACCAGCATTGATATTTATGATTGTTATTACAATATGTTATTAAGGTTGTTAAGCTCAAATATTTAACGATGAGATCGAGAAAATTCTACGGACATTTTATTCTCATAGAAGTCGCCATGAGCTTGTTCAATCCTCAATTGACGAATTAAGATTCAGCAGAAAATTTAAATAGAAAAACCGCGAAATTCTCAGGGGTCTTTCTCGAAAAAAAATATTCTTCCTCTGAGAAATTTTAAAATACAAAAGGGACTCGGAAATAGATACACTCGTACATTAGAATTCCGTATATTTTAAAATTAAATTATAATGACAAGCGCTTTGTTTATCTCCCAAATATTGATTCGTTTTTAGAAACTAGATGGATTTACTTTTATCGTCGACGTCATAAACACGCAAAAGCCATTAAATGTTCACTCCTTGACGAAAATAAGTAAAATGAAATTATATTACAATTTCCTCTTTTCATAATAAAATAAAATATTCGAAACTTTTTGACCCTGCAGAAATAAAAGATTTTTAATCATTTCTCAATCACTAGAATTTTTGCAATTTGTAAAACTTAAGCCATAGTTGATAAACCGAACCATTAACCGATATCGTATAAAATTCGAACACAGGGTAATTTTATAATAAATACAAAAGTCTTTCATAATAGTGTTTATACTATTTTTTATACATTTTAGTATGATTTACATACTATCTACCTCTCTCTATCTCTTTCACAGACACACATACACAAATATATGCTTTTGCCAGTACAACTAATATTATAATAAAAATATATAACAGAGGGCAGCAAGAGAGGGTTAATCTCGCTAAAAATAATGGTCAAAGAGACTACCTTGTTAACTATTACTGTATGGCGAGAAATAGAGGGTATGTGGATATACAATGGACACTGAAGTCAACACCCAGCGGCGAGAGGAATGATAAACGTAATCCTCAGTTATGTGCGTTGTGTTTTTTGCTCGACTATTTATATATGCAGTTAAGTGATGCATTGTCCGTAGTCTACTGTATTGCATTACTACAGGGGATATTTAGTGGAAATAATTGTGGATAAGAATGCAGATTTTTGGATGTTTATGTCTATTCATTCATTGACTAATTTACATATATATATATATATATATATATATATATATATATATATATATATATATATATATATATTTGGTATGTTAGCTCTATCTCTGATATTGAGCGCTTTCTAATAAGTACCCGCATATAATATATAAATAATTATACATATATATTTATTTATATTTATATACACTTTTCACACACACACACACACACGTATATATATATATATATATATATATATATATATATATATATATATATATATATATATATATATTCTGTTTTATATATATATATATATTCAGTTTATATATATATATATATATATCTTTTATTTATATATGTCTATACAGAATCAGATAGATATGCACAGACATGCACATGGGGGAGATATATATATATAGAGAGAGAGATTTGAATATAAACATACATAGACAAATATGAATAGACTGAGCTATGAACTACTTTGAATAAAATATTTATATATATATATATATATATATATATATATATATATATATATATATATATATATATATATATATATATATATATATATATATATATATATATATATATATATATATATATATATATTTGAATCCTCGTCGCCAACTGTTGTATCTCGTTTTATTTTAGAGATAACAGATGAAAAAAAATAAGGAAGACAAGTCGTAGTTAATTAATGAAATACAAGGTTTACTAAACGAAGGTACACTAAGCAATTGATCTAATATATTAAATTACATAATAGAGAAATCCAAAATGACCTCACGAGTATAGACTATTTCAACTAATGTCAATGTGTTAGCCTTATTCGACTCAAATGTTGGACTGCATTCAGTCAAATTACTATCTCCTCCAATTGTAGAAATAGTGAAAACTGTTCAGTTGAAGGAAAATGCAGAGCTACTAAGGTGATACACCAATCAACCATTTACCCCAAAGAAAATAAGTTAAATCACAATATTTACATTGGAATTTCCGCGAGGTAATGGAAACAAAGACTTTACACTATAGGCACCGTTTTACCAAAGCAAAATTAAAATATCAGACAGCTCTTTCCCAAAAGTAGGGGAATTGATGTATAAAGATCAGAAACCATCAGGTTGACTGTAAAATTATAAGTTTCGCTCATACTCCTAATAGTCTTGGGAATAGGTGTGATCTATGTTTAGAAGAAAAAATAAAATAATAAAATTCAATAATCAAAGCAAACTATTAAATCAAAGGAATGTATTAATTTCAAAATGTCGTCATAGAAGTAGGTTTAAACTTCGATAACATATGTGACTTTACTTTATTTTTAATTATCTAACCCTTTTAATGTTATATATATATATATATATATATATATATATATATATATATATATATATAAAGCAATTCATCGAGTCTAGAAGAAACCTCAACAGAATGCAGAAAGCACTGGACGGCCGTTTCGTCCTATATTTGAGACTTATCAGCAGTGCGCATCCACTACCGAGAATTGAAACCCGGGCAGTTACGTTATCAGGCAAACGTCATATCAACGGAATATGTGACCGAGTGGGGCTATATCGAGTCCAATTCGCTACCTCTTCGTCACCGAGGCCCGTTGGTACAGTTGGTACAATCGGTAGTGAATACGCACTGCTGATGAGTCCAAAATATAGGACGAAACGGCTGTCCAGTGCTTTTTGCATTCTGTTGAGGTTTCTTCTAGACTGGATCAATTCCTTAATTATAATTATCTCAAATCCGCCTAATAATTTCTATCACTTTTATATCCTTGTTTGAACCGGCTGCTAATGCTCTGCATGGAGCGGCTTGGGGATAGTACTCTTGGCTTGTGGCGGCACAGTCTTATGTGTAAGGGAAACTCGGATGAGTTCCACCACAGAATATGTGATCGAGTGGCGCTATATCGAGTCTAATTTGCTACCTCTTTGTCACCGAGGCCCGTTGGTACAGTTGGTATGACGTGTGCCTGATAACGTAACGGGTTTCAATTCTCAGTAGTGGATGCGCACTGCTGATGAGTCCCAAATATAGGACGAAACGGCCTTCCAGTGCTTTCTGCATTCTGTTGAGGTTTCCTTCTAGACTCGATGAATTACTTAATTATAATTATCTCAAATCCTCCTAATAATTTATACATATATATATATATTTGTGTATTTAGGCAACAATCTTTATTCCACGGACATTTCATTGAATAAGACAGACAAGGTGCTTTTATTTAGTTTTTAATACAATTTCTCATGCGATCTTTTTTTTTCTTTTTAGATGATAAATTATATAAAAACCATCCGAATGTTCTTTTTATCCGCGTGCTTTACATTTAGACATTTTCAAGGATTAAATAGTTTAATACACACACACACACACACATATATATATATATATATATATATATATATATATATATATATATATATATATGTATATATATAATTTTTCAGATTGTTTATGTGATCATATAGATTGACATTAGTGTGTGTGTGTTGGTGGTGGGGGCTCACATATACACTAAAGACAACAAAAATTTTATTGATGTCAGACGCGTCCTAAATTTGGTTTCAAAAAGATTAATTCTGTGGTTTATATGGATGCAGATTGAAAACAATGGATATGGTCACAAAACAACCCACACACACGCATATATATATATATATATATATATATATATATATATATATATATATATATATATGGTATTGCTCAGCAGTGATTGTTTAGTGGCTAGCACATGCATGTAGTCAAGTAGGATGAATTGTTCTATCTGATAGTTTATCTAGTATATTTAAAATGTATGAGTTTCTACGTAACAACACATTGTTCAGAAGTATGAAAACGAAATGATCTCTATGAATAAGTTAATTAAGAAAAATTTCCGGGATCAAATGCCACTTGACCGGAAGATAGAAATTTTCGGTCATGCGCAGGGAAGCCCATGATTTGAAATCAGGCTACATTCTTCATAAAGACCAGTAACAAGCCGTTCATTGAAATGTTTAGAGAGTATTTTCTCTACCCATCATAGTTATATTTCAACTTCTGTTCCTTTGTTGAACATGCACTGAGCTTTTCATAGTTTTCGTTTACACTGGTATAGACTGAAATCGCAAGATATTGTGTGAGGACGCTGTCGGAAGTTCCTGATTGACAGTTTATGCTTAGTTTCTCTTCTGTAAGTAAGTTAATTTAATATTATGTGTGCCTTTGTTTTGAATGCGTGATGTAAAAGATTATAGCAAATGATTTATCAACCCCGACAGTTCAGCGGGCGGTTATTTGCAAAGTTGACGAAAACAGACGAAATAGAAAACATATCCTTAGATTATTTACTCTCAAATTTTCTCTGATCTGCTTGGGGAACAGTAAAAGACTCCAAATTTGTGTAAATCGGAGTTTAAACATTTATGGCTTTCCTTTAAAATAAGATATCACTTTTTAGGACATTGATAAAATGTCCGTTCACTCCGACATCAGAGTTCACTGACAAGAATATGGAGGAGCGAAATCAGCTTTTAAACGTAATACAGACTGTACAAATCGCTGGCAGTCTCCATTTTCCGATATGAATGTGAAACGTGGATACTGTTGGCAGAAACAGAGGGAAGGATTCAAGTGTTTGAGGACAAATGCATGAGAAAAGTCATTGGCATCTTCTTTTGAGAACATAAAACCAATGAGTTTGTACAGAAAAGAGTTGAAAGTTTTGTAGGCCACCACTTCTTCTCGCTACCGTCAACTGGAGAAAAATGGCGTAGTTTGGACACGTTACGAATCACGACATGTTCAGGACCATCATGCAAGGCACCGATGAAGATGGCCGTAGGAGAGGACGCCAACACAAAAACTGGTTGGACAATGTCAAACAATGGATAAGTATGACTATACCAGAATTGCTGATGGCTGCCGTTGATAGACCGTTTTGGAGAAGATTCAATATGGCTTCTGCATTCAGATACCCCCGCTACGATTATAAAAGTCAAGAGGATAATGATGATGATGATGACAGGTGAACTTTTATTAGATGGAATATGAGAACGACAGAAATCGAAGTCGAATGGGTTTTGAACGTAAAGTTTAGAGTGTGCTACATGTGGTTCAATTGTCTACATGATTTAAAAAAAAATCAAATTTTAGTCAGTTGGTGGCACAAGATATGATTCAACTTAAATTATCATTTGTAGGGAATAT